GTATTCAGGCAAATCTTGTAAAGTCAAACTTTTGATTTTAGATTAAGCACTTAAAATGCGCTTAACACCTTATTGTATTATTATTATTATTATTATTATTATTATTATTATTATTATTATTATTGCTGCCAGCAAACAAATTGGTGGTGTAAGTCTCAGTTGTTTATTTTTTCCTTGTTTCAGTAATTGATAACATTCCAAGTTTCCGCTACAGTGCAAGCTCACGAGATTATTCCAATGGAAATTGTGTGGTGTGCATGAGCGATTATAGCAAGGGTGAAAAACTACGACGTCTACCTTGTAATCATGATTTCCATGCCAAATGTATTGATCGCTGGCTCAAGGTAACACGAGCACTTCATTCTGTTTCAATCATTTTATTATTTTAAGTATTAAATGACTAGTGGTGAAACTGTTCCATTGGGATTTTAGTGATTTAGGGTCAGGTGTAAGTTTGGTTTTCACTTCAACATAAGCACTAGTATGAGTGGTGATGAGGTGCTGGTGTGCATACATGTAAGCACCCCTAAAAAATCTTGTTGAAAGTTCTCCTTACTGTTTGCTATACATTTCTTGTAAATTTTGTTTCAAGAATTTGTTTGTGCTTGTGTTGTGGGTGCTAACAGTAGAACCATCTTTGCATTTGCTTGTGATGGTGCATATGTGGTTGCAAAAACCAGGCCTTTGGTGTTAAGCATGATAGTGAGAGACTTGGGTCTAAGCTCATCACCTCCACTTAGGGGTATCAATCAGAACTAGCTAATGTTTTGGAATGAGATGGGGGGAGGGCTTCCGTCATGCATTGAACTATTGTAAATATAGGTACATGCACTTTAATTGGTCAAGGATTCCGTTACATCTTTCCATAATTACTGGGGACAAGATGATGACAACAGGAGCACTTATTAACTTTTTGGGTTTAACTGGCTGCAATTGGCTTCTTGTTAGACATTTTGACCTGTTTAATGCTTTTTTGCAAACAAAGGTTTTGGCTACCACTACTCTATATCTATGGGCTAGACTCCCTGTCTCAGCCCTTTGATGCAAGACATTTTGGAGGCAAAGAAATAGGGCAAATTTACATTTTCGCTGTATTAATCACCGTAGTAGTTGTAACAAAACAATTATTTGCTGAAGGAAAAGTGAGTGGTATTTAACAATATTATATAATTGTCAAGACAAAGTTGGAGATTATAAAAAAGTATTCTCTTTGCCTTCAGCAAATGATTGCAGGAAACAAATCAGGGATAGGAAGGGTCTAGCACAGGGTACTGAAATAACACTTATACTGAAGTGTAAGCTGCAGCTGTTAATAGCTAGTTTACATGCTAATGGTAAATCAGAAACTATGGACGGAATTTTTTAATAATGTTGTGAATTTGATTTTCAGAATAATCGAACCTGTCCTGTGTGCAGAGAAGAAGTCATGGAATCTTGATCTTTGCCTAACTTTTAAACAAGTTCCAATTATTCCTTAAGATGATTATACAAATTTTGCTGTTGAAATTGATATATATATATATATATACATATATCTACATATAATGATTAATGCATTGTTGTTATTCTACACTCCTGACATTTGTAATGTTTTGCAAACTCTTGTTCAGTCTGTTAGAAAGAGAGAGAAGATTCATTATATGCTTTAGAAACAACTCCAACTTATCAATAGTTTTTATATTGCATTGCTAAAATATCTTCAAAATTGTTGAAATAGTTGTAAGCTTCAAGGAATAATAGTAATTTTGTTCCCCCCACGAGTAACATTTCCTTTAGTCATTTGTGCACTAAATATAGTTTTCTTGAGATCATCTTAAGTAAGAGGGTCGTTGTGGCATGTACAGATCAAGGTACTTTCTCACTGTACCTTCAGAGTTTCCTCTGTCAGTTTTGTTACACGTTGAACACAGCTTCAATCCATCTTGTGAAAGAGCCATGTCAACAAATGTGTTGCAATATATTTCAAATCCAGCAAAAGTAATTTTACAATTGATTGTATTCATACTTTCAGGATGTTGTGGGAGTATTTTTGTTGGCACTGTCAGATGTAATAAGCATAAGTTTCAATGTTGCACCTTCAGCACTTTCCAGAATTATTTTTAAATCTAGGACCTTGTTTATTTTTCCATGCACTGCAATCCAGGACTGAAGGATGAGTTTATATGACTTGGCTAGGAAATATCTTTAAAATTATATTGTTATGAAATGAAAGATTCCTATATTCACATTTGTAAGCCTAGAAATAATTTCCTCTAACATTGGTTTGAACTCAGAGAAGTTGCCACAGCTCACTTGTATGATAGTTAATGAATTATGTGAAGACCCATAGTGAAATTTGTACATAATATTTAAAGAAGCTTGAGTATGTAGACCAATTGCTTTTATTATATATCAAGGCACTGCCATAGCATTAAACACATTTATACAGCTTTAATCTAAAGTCTGAAATATTTAATAGTTATCACCTTTAACCCTTGAACGCCAAAGAGTGACAAGCATCTAATTTCTAATAATAACATTCCTGAATCAGACACTAAGCTCATGGGAATGAAAGAAATGATCGCGAACTCAAGAGGTTCTTCATTTTTTGACAAATTCACGTTGTAAGTACCGTACAAAATGTATAGGAATAGAGATGGGTACGGAGAACATGCACACTGATGTCAGGCTGTAAAGTATTGAGTAAAAGACCTCGCTAAAATTTGTGTAGCTTTAAGAAAAAACTTACATTGGTGTTCAGCAGTTTATTAAATCCCCTTCGGTGGAAATACAATTTGTGCCGTGCCACCTTGAGCCACCTTGAGGATGAAGTTAGGCCATTTTTAGTTCATTCATGCTAAAAGTAACGAATAAGGTATTGTGGTGAAGCAGATGTTGACGGAAGTTGTCGACTGTGGACGGAAGTTGTATTCCGTAGTTGGAAGTTGGATTGTGGACCGTGAACGGAAGTGGTCCCGCATGCTACCCCTCCCCACTTAGTGTCTGTCAAAATAATTTAGATGAAGCTCAGAAACTCACGTGAAAAGAAATAAAATGTTTGCATGGTTTAATAAAAATAATAACCTCAAATCACATTTCCGAAACTTGAATCGAGAAGCCGAAATGTTAACCCCTAGGGACCCGTAGCGGGTTCATTTCAATACACGCTATGATCACGCAGAAGGGCATCACAGGTAGCCATATTAGTGGTAAGCCGAGCATTTGCGTTCGTCTGCAGTTGGTATAAAGTAATCATTCAAGAAATAATTGACAGCTTTGCACGTGGTCCATACGTTTCATCTTTTTAACCGATATGTGTAATTTTGTTGACAAAAATGCGGACCGAGACCAAAACTGTTGCTTCGACTTGATATATTTTCAACGTCTAGGGGTGTATACACACTGATATTCACATATGTGCCTTATATTGTTACTGGTTTACATGAGGAGCCGGCGAATTCTTATAGGGAAAAGCGAAGCGTTGCTTTCGTGACTGGCCATTTGTTTACTTTTCTGGTGGTTTTATCTTTCATCTGCTTGGTGACTACGCATATATTAATATGTAAAAATCAGACCACATGAAGGCTTGAAATTCTATTAAGAACGATTGTGGCCGCTTTGTTAAAAACCAAATGCAATGGTCACTTTGTTAAAAACAAAAGATATCAAGAAACGGGAAAGGAATATTTCACAATAGTGCAAATGATCGTGAAAGATGAGGGTTCTTACAATTTTGCTGCCGGAGCAACATTTGATGCCTGATTATGCCCAACCAGCCCACCCTCCGCACCACAAACACACATACACCAACAAAAAGGACATTGTCTGCCTGATGACCTCTGCCCATCCCACCTCCAGCCTACACAATCTTCTTTCCAATTCCCATCATGACAAATGCACAAGTTTTCTTATCACACAACTGCCCAAAATTAAAAGAAAATTTATTCCATAAGTCTTGAAAGTTCAAATAGACTGGATTCAACTGTACCTATATTCAACATGTCCAAGAAATCAATACAAACTTGAGCCATAACATGAATGAGCTGGCTCCAAGAGCCCTTTGATTGAGTTCAAGAAACCCCCAGTTTTTGAAATGAGACCTGTTGAGTGGACTATTGAAAAAGTATGGCTTTTACCAATATGATTAAAAACTTAACCAAATTGACTTGGTCAGTAGCATTTTTCTGTATATTTCCACTCTGTGGTTGCTCCAGGGAACCAGTGCTAGTTCTTGGCCAGTCAGATTAAAAATTTAATTCAACTGTGACTTGGTTAGTGGCATTTTCCCACAAATTAGGCTCTTGGTTTGCTATTTTTTCCTGGATTTGATTGGCCATTGTGATTACTGCAGTTTGATTTTTTTGAAGTTTCATCAAGAAGCACCCTAACCAAATTATTTACTTAGGCAGTACTTGTGTGGGCATTGTAAGTGTACACCTGGCGCTTGTTTAGGTTTTCTCTCTAATTTATTTTTGTCTTGGTGGGAAGATAGAATCTCCAGTATGGTAACATTTCACCTTGAGGGATATTACAAGACTACTTTCAGAAATTGGTAACTACAGTTGCATTTTTCAAATCTTGATTTTGAACATGTGCTACTTCATTGATCACAGCAACTTTATTTCGAGGGCCTCACTTATTTTTATCCCCCTACCCCCCTGGATGGAGAACCTGTAATTGGCCGGGATGAGAAGGGAACCTGGGAATGAGGCTCCTGAGGTACAGCAATTCTTAAATTAGAAGGACCTGTGTTACTTGCTTTAAAAATGTAACTGAAACGCTTTCTTTGGATTGGTATACAGGACCTTTGGCTTGAAATTCAAGGAATTTTGGGTTATGATTACCAGGAGAATGATTCCCCTTTCATTTTAACCACAGCCATATAGCTTGGGGGAAAAAAAATGCATATTAAGCTTTTGCAAATTGCGCTTAAAAATGATACCTCCCCACGTGAGGTCACGAGTAAAAAGATCACTGTTGCTACAGTCACATTGATATAAAAATTGCGCCTTTCAATGCAGTGCCTTTGATTTCGTATTTAATTTGTGTAATAATAAACAGAATATCATATTTGAGTGTTGAAAAGATATTTCACTCGTTCTCTTCGCCCATTTCAACACTCGAAATTCGTATCTCCGTGCGGCCATATGACATCCTCTATATCTTTTTGTTAAAACAATTGCTAAGAACTCTGTGGAAAATGTGCCTGTCTTTCAGTACAATGCAATGGCCATCATTTTACTGCTTACATCCCTGCAGTGACACCAGGTGGGAATTTTCTAACCGGAAGGAAGAAATGAATGTAATGTAAGTATTCTAAATTAGGATATGACTTCATTTAATACTTCACAAGTTATACTCTACCGGAGGATGGACTTTAAGTACACTAAGATCATTATATATTCAGTAGATAGTGAACTCAATGAACCATTTTTCTGTTAAAATAATTTGTTATTTACTTGTTCTGTGCGTGAAATCCTCCGTTCTTGCGGAAAAAATCGTTCTTTTTGTTTCGAATGACATAAAAAAATAACCCTGCTATTTATAGGAAACAAACAGAAATATTGATCATCCAATTTATGTCTATAAATCTCATTTTCATTTCTAAAGGTCCTGAAATGTTTTTAAAAAAATCCCGATTTATCTCAAAAGTTCCTTTTCGAAATAATCTCATAATTTGCACAAAATGTGAGATTCCCGTGCTGAATTTTCATGGAGCACCGGCCCCTAGACTGATTCAAAATACTCATTTATTTTCAAGACAAAGTGAGCGATACGTCAGTTTCGTCTCCTTACATTTCCCTCTCCGAAAAAGACAGCATGACTGTTGGCAGAGTTTGACATTTCATGTGGCATAACCAAGGCCAAAACCACGACAATAACCTCTATTACAAAGGTAGAATGCGAAGTACCATTACCATTACCCGGAGCTCGAGACTAATTGTGCCATCGCTCGCCGAAATTACGTTCACTTACTTACTCGACAGCTTAGATTGGCTCCGTTTTTCGACTGTTCCGAGTCCGAGACTTCGGTTGGTGAACGCAGGCTCATTTCGCCAACATTGGATGATTTTATGGTTAATACGGGTGAAAAGTGAACATTTGAGAAGAGACTGGGAAATAGTCAATGCACTCACGTTTCACCTGCACGTGAATCTAGCTAATGTTTACTCACGCGTTCGATACACGTGAAAACTTCCATCTGTATGCGACATTATAAGAATAACTTTCGCAGTACGATGAGTTGTCGGATCTAAAAGAACGACAAAGGCCATTTTAACGATCGAGATGCAATCCTTTAATTTATCCTTATAAGTGTGATGTGTGATTGCGAAGTTTTAAACACCAGTGCACAAGATGGTACGTCGAAAACAAGCGAATGGCTCATGAGTAGTAACTTTTCAACAGACTGTGGCGATCGCCAACAGTCTTCTTCATCGGGAGAGTCTTCGCGAGCTGTGTCGCCGATCGAGGATTCTGAGCCAGTTAAACCAGAGGGTAGTGGAACAAAGCTACACAGTGATCATTACCATCGAAAACATCGTCACTCGAAATTTCACAAGAAAAAACATGTCAACAGCTCCGGCGTCGCGGTGGATCGATTTAAAAGAACTGCGACTGTGTTGCGCTGTTCTGGGCTTCTTCAGATCACGAGAAGTATATCTCAACTTCTACATAACAATGAAATAATTCAAAGTGAGATCGACAAGCTTCAACATGAAACGAAGGAGCACAGCCAGCAGTTACAGAGACAATTGCAAAAGAAACTTGAAGTCGAGAGGGAGACTAGAGGTGCGTGCAGTCCAGAGGGTCAAAAGTTACTCACGAAACTCGCTCAATTTGAGTGGAATTGAACTATTATTGGAATTCGCGCATTAAGTAAATCTTATTCCTTAATCACTTTTTTTCAAGGTTGTTTATTTCATTTTTGTATGCGGCGAAAAAACATTGGTAAACAAGGAATGATAATATTAATCAATGTAACTGGTGTGCAGCGAATTAGAAAGTCAGGCGACCGGATTACGTAACCGTACTGTTTGTTATTCCTTTACTTGAATGATCTTTCATTTTGGACTCTTTCGATCGAATCTAAAATTAAACGAGCGAAGAGTTACTGTTATTATGGATGAAATGTGTGGATTTCATAGAGTTAAGATTCGCAGTAAGAATTAGCGCGCACAGTTCTTCCAATCTTTATTACTTGGGTTATTTTTACGCAGGTTGAAAATGATTTGCTCATCTGGAAAATTCTTTATTCAATAAAGAGTTGATGTACAATTTATTTGACTTTTTTATTGTGTACTGTTGCAGAAGGGGCGAGAATTGTAAAGAGGAATATTTACAATCTAATTGAAAATCCGAGTGCAAAGAAAAGAACCGATCTTAAAGTAGACTCAGTAAGCAATGGTTAGTATCACTATGCTACTTCGATACAGTTTCACGTAATTGATTATCAACTTACTTTTAATTGTCATCCATTCGATTAAGATGATTTAACCAACATACCGGTAGAATTGCGCAGAATGATCGATTGTCAATGCGTTGCGAAGATCTCTTGGGCGTTGAAAACAGAGAAGGCGGGTCATGGGAGGGTTAACAACACAAAATTGGCTTAGACTGGACCACAGGTAGCCCAGGGTCGCTAAATGATACTCCGTGATTACTTTGCGTAATGGGCGATCCGTGATAGTAAATCTTTAGTATAGAGGGCAAAGCAGATGCAATATTACCGAGCTGAACAGTCCAAAACCAGCTTATTTAACTCACGATGCAAAGGAATGATTACTTAAGCGAGGTAAGTTCGTTTTTAATTTAAAACTAGCTGGAACTTCAACCGTACATTTCCATACAAATCCTAATAACGCGTCAATTTCAAATTTACAGAGGCTCGTCTTGTGAGCTTAGGCCTGCTGAGATAATAGCCCATGATCATTACTGTTTGTTTATACTTGTTGGGAATGGAACAACTTACTCAATAGTAAGGAAATAATTAAATTTTATTTATAGAGGGTGACTGATACTAACAATACAAGTTGATGAACTAACGGCCTTCTTTTGTAGAGGATCCGGTGAAAAGTTAATAATGGAAACACAAGCAATCTAAAAACATACCTATAGCTCCGAAGTAATATTATGCAAAATATATACATATATTTTTTGATGACATGAACGAACGTTGCCCTTTGTTCGTACTGTATTTCTAAAGAAATTTAATTCGAGACTTTTACCGCACAATCGTTTTGAAAGCTTTGCCCTCAGTCTTCAAGTTGCCCTATCCTCAACGGCTGTAATTGTTTACCTCTAGGTTCTCAACCGGCTCCTCGCTTGCGTGACCGTCCTGATGTTTTCCTAAGCTAGTGGTATGCACTCTTACGTAAGAGCGCATCTTGCTTCTTCTCGTTTATTTGAATGCGGTTGCCTAGGTTTCGCACCCGCCCAACCAAACAACATCGAAGGGACACCAGACTTGGAAATTTTGATCTTAGTCTTACCCGTGAATTGAATGTTCTTCCTGATGTTATTCAGCTTCGCATATGCTGTCGCTTCCTTCTTCAATCTTTCCTTCATGACTCTCTCGGTGCCACTTGAGGGTCACTTGACTTGCTGACCTTCACGCTCAGGCAGGCTAGCACCCAAAAGGCTTCTAGCCCTCCCAAGATAGATATCTAGTCACGAGAAACCATAAGCTAAGAACCAATTGAGAAAATTGTAGGAGACGCTTTGAAATCACAATAGGCCTTCTAAGGTTGAAAGTGGCCTGCAACTAGATGTTCCTCTCGCGCGCAGACGGCGAAGAAAATTTAACTGAGGAGTCGAATAACCAGCAAGTCTGAGGCATGTTTCTGTTGAAGTTTTTAAAATATTAAGGCCTGGAGAAGAGAATATAACCTTGGCCTGAAGCTTTTACTTCGAGTTCATTTCCACCCTCAGCGCGAGGGTGGGTTCACGATGGCCTTTGCGTTAGGATTCAGGTGCTCAATGAGCACTCTCAGCGATGCGCATGCTTTTTAAAAATATGAATACTTTATAGCGCCTTCATTACCTACGTAGGAGCTGTACAGAGAAGAACTGTTTACGCAACTTCCGCGGGCTAAAAATTCACTAAAGGAGTTTTTAACCTGCGAAAGTTAAGCATACAGCCATGAGCCATAATATAGCATAGTAAAAACTCAAATTCTTCTGACTGACTGACTGACTAATTGCTTGAATTATTGTCTGACTTAATAACTGACTGACAGACGGACCGATTGATTGACTGACTGACTAACTGACTGACCAGTCTGACTGACTAATTGTTCGACTGACTGCCTGACTGACCAACTGACTGATAGACTGACATATTAATTGACAGTTTGACTGAGTGACTGACTGAAATGCTGATTGACTGACTAACAGACTCACAGATTGATTGATTGACTGTATGACTGACTGATTAACTGTTTGACTGACCAGCAGATTGATTTACTGACTGGCGGACTGACTAACTAACAAGTAAACCGACTAACTAACTGACTTGCTGTCTAACAGACTGACTGACTAGTAGACTGACCGACTGATTGACTGACTGACTGACTGGCTAGCAGACTGACTGACTCGCTGGCAGATTGACCAACTTGCGACTGACTGACTGACTGGCAGACTGACTGACCGTGTAAGGCTGACTGACTGGTTGACTGACTGACTGACTGACTGACTGACTGGCAGACTGACTGACCGACTGACTGACTGACTGGTTGACTGACCGACTGACTGATTGACTTGCTGACCGACTGACTGGCAGACTGACTGACTGACTGACTGACCGACTGGTTGACTGACCGACTTGCTGACTGACTGACTGGTTGACCGACTGACTGGCAGACTGATTGACTGTTTGACTGACTGATTGTCTGATTGTCTGGTGTACTCACTGAATGACTAAGGATGAGTTAGAGAGATCGACCGACAAAACTGATAAGACAGTGGATTTAGCCTGTCTTGAGGAGTTTTGTGACTGACTAATCGACGACAAGCACAAACTTTTAACTAGTTTCAAATTTGTGAATTGAATTAAGAGGCATGATCTTGGCTTAGAGAAATAATTGCACAATAAAAGTCTTTAAAGTTAAAACTGAGTTTGTTTCGTAAACGTTCGATTTGTCACTACAGGCGAATCCTTAAAGACGATCGAATCTTTAATGTGTACATGAAGCGTCGCGGAACGGTTTTTCATTATGTATGCCTCAAGCCTTAAGATTTTTCTCACAAAAGCCTTCAAAATTCTACGGAAACCAAAAACTTTTGCCCGCTTTCGCATCTCTCATTAAGATAACAAGTTATTCACGATTCCATGAAAAATAAATGAATAAGTTAATATTCCTCCTCCAATTACTAAGTCGTCGTGATCAAACAAAATATATTATTCGTTTGTGTTTATTTTACTAATAAAATCTACTAGTAAAACCCTTATGATGCACCATCAAAAAACGAGGCAAGATATCAAACATTCCATGAACGCACCTAGATATTTTGAATTCTAACAAGAAAAACAAGGTTAATACCTTGAATTATTTAAGCTAGTTTGAAAAAGGGCGTTGTCTATAAATGAAAATATCTTACATTTCTCGAAAAAATAAAAAATTATGTATACGGTAAAATGACTTGTTTTACCCAAAATAGCTGGTGTGTTCATACTAAGATTAACCTTCGATTTAAGCGAGACCAATACCTCACGTCCCGTCCTTGACAGCCCGTGTTTGTTCATCAGACCGATTTCCAGCACCGATCGCTTGAAATTTTACAACGATTCTCACAGGAATGCTTAAATCCAACACCACTGGAAAATTTAGGATTTTATCGATTTACAACATGATCCCAAATGAAAGCCGATTTTTCCATTCCCTCGTGCGAAGGTAAATGTCATATGCTTGTTGAATGAGCGGTCTCAATAACTAGTGATATAGTATAGCATGGCATATCATATTACATTTATCTTGACCCATAACAGGTGTTTTCACTTTTAATTTCCAATCTTGGTGTTTAGTTTTTTCGGAGACCATTAATCGACCCCTAGTGGCTATTTGCATAGCATATGTAGTTTGTTCACTCGAGACTCTTTTATTTCATTCTTGCTTTAATTAATCCGATAGCCAGTGGTTAGGGGTAGAATTGCTTTAAGCGTGGAAAAGAAGGTGTGTTGATGACATTGCTTGTCGAACGATTATTGTGCAGTAATGGCTTCAAAGTGAAATTACACCGAGAAGTCATTACAGTTTCCCTTGCATAATAATCACAAATTAGAATGAGGCTTTATCATTTTCTCGCCTAATATGACTAGGCTTGTTGTTAGAGGTGGAAATTCGCACGGATTGATCAAAAAAATCTCTTTAACACAAAAAATTTGGAATACGACTCGTTCATTAAAGAAACAGAATTATTTTGATGCAAATCGCGTGAAAGAAATTTCCCACAAAAGGTTCCGTAGATTCTGAAAGCACCATTCTCGAAAAAATATGAAAATCTAAAAGGAATATCACTGTTCAGTAAACAAATGATAAAATATTTTAGACCGCTATCATGTCCTGGTGTCGTAAAATCCGGCGTAAGGTGCATAAAAAGGTGTAAATTAATAACTTTAACGGGGAAAAAAAACAACAACACAACGGTTTTTAAAATTAAGTTTTTTTATAAGATCTTCAGCTCATTTCTAAGTGTAACCTGTAAGCGTGTCACAGCTCCTTAATCGTTACGTGACTTGAATGGGAAAATCATGCCCTAACAATGTTTTGACTAATATGACCGCTATTGATGCGCCAATAATTAAAAACGGTTGACCAGTACCTTATTCCTATTCTGAGAAGAGCGTACTTTATCAGAGCAATTTGGTGGGAAAAGAAACCCGCTAATTTTATGGACAGGGTAGTGTTTGCTGCAACGCTAACGGGGGTTTTGGTGTAAGATAATAATCAGTTATATAAAGTGCTACACAAAAATCAAAGGAAAAAAATTACCATTCGGTTTATAACTCGCTAACTAAAGAATTGAATAGAGGAACAAAGTACAAAGAGATGAAAAACTATCGTGTTTTCACCTTTTTTTTGAGAAGAGCAGCTGAAATTTTGGATAATTTCAGTTTTCCATGGATGTTTGGCCCTTTTGAAATGAATATCTTTTTTTTTTTTTTGTAAATTAAAAGCTTCGTTTACTGTTGTTAGACTTAAAGTTTGGTAAACCGAAACAGATGCAGTCAGTTACTTTGATGTGGTAAGATCACAAAGAAAGATCGAGTCTACAGAAGAAGATTTTTAAAATAGGAAATCTCTTAATCCAGATTAGTTAGACTTTAGAAACAAAACTCAAGCTTTTTAGCTTTGATATTTCTTTTCTCTATTTTGATGGAGCAGAATCATTGTCACTCATTCCGCAGTTGACTTAGTTATAGAAGAATTATGAAAGCAATGTGCGGGACCGATCTCCGGAATCATTGTGGTTTGGTCGATGCTGTCTTCTTTTCATAGACTTCGTTGGACACAAAAAAAATGAATAGAGAGAAAGCAGAAAGAAAGTGTATTTTATTCTTTACGCCAAAAACAAAGCGCGCAAATTAATCCTAAGCTCTGGCGGATATACTTTTTTTCTCCGTTTTATCAAATGAATATTGAGTCATCGAACGAGGGAAACCCATGGAAATGCTGAAACTAAAGAGACTGTGTACTTTTCAGCCCGGTTTAAACCTCTTATATTTAGTTTTTTTTTGTAAACAAATGAAACGAGTTTGAACTTTCATTCACTTAAGTAATGAAACTCTTAAAAAACGTAGTGTTGTTTTTCGTAAAGTACCTTAAAAGAATCATCGCGTTTTGTTGTTACCTATGACTGCAGCTGGTACGATTCGGGAATAAATACGGACCACTGACTCAGGATAAAAATTTTGAAGATCTTCACAAAGGGTTTCTTGAAAAATTTCCGCATTCGGAGCCATGATAACTTTCCTGAAACTGCGCACATGTAAACGCTCACAAAGCTCGGACGCATCGAAATTTCGATTGAGGATTTTCACTGTTGTTCAAGTCTCTCCATCGTAGGACAAAATTTCCCGTTGTTAAATCAAGTTTCTCTGATCATATCCTCGCAAGCCAGAAAGATTAGAGATGATGCTAAAACTAAGCCGGTTCTTTAGATAATGAGCTGAGTTTAATTGAACATGGGTAAAAGGCACAAAGGTCTTAAAAACAATGTTACGATGGATAATGAATGGAACATGCGAATAAGGATATAAATTGAATGATTTATGGTTCATAGCCTTTTCTTCTACTCTGTTCTGTTAACGGGGACTTTCTTTCTCGTTATCTCTTTTTGCGAATTACTGATCATCAATTTTCCCTATTCATCAGATAGTTTTAGCGCAATGGAAAGTCGTACTATGTTGTTTACAACTCTTTGGTTTTGCGTGGCTTTTCCCCAAAGTATTATTTTCCAAGTTATTATCTGGGAACTCGAGTTTATTAAAACATTTATGCAAATGTAATATTTGTTCCGAAAACATCTGTCATTGGGTTTAATGTGAGTTGGTATCCACTCACAAAACAACCAAACAAGTATTTGCCGGGCGTTAAATCTATGTCAAAAGAATGCTTGAAAGAAAAAAGCCTTCGCATGGCGCCGTTAACGCTAGCTTAGAAGAAAAGAGACAAACAAAGAGGTGTGAAGAAAGTGTTCGTTAGAAAATTAAGATTTCCTACTTTTTTCTATTCACGTGAATACGGCATTGTACGCGATCGGTAGGCAGCCTTCTTGAAGGCGTGTTTAACTCATTAATGGGCTACAGCTGTCTCCTTACAGGATAAACAGTCGTTAACTAAGATTTTCAGTAATTAAAGGTTCGATAAAAGCTCTCAATAACATTTTGGTAAAATACTTATCGCGGCCATGTGCGGCGAAACATCAAATAATTGCTTTGGTGATAAACCTTTCTTCCGTTAAGAAGAATGCCATTTTGAACACAATGATTTCAAAGAAAAGGATGAGTCCTAATGATTTCTTTGATCAAGAGAAAAACTGCCGAGTTAGTGACAGGTGAATGTTGTGCAAAGTTTACTCTTGGAATGCTTAAAGACATTTATAAAGTCAGTCCTCTTCGCTTCCCGTGAGTTTGGTCGTGTTCTACTTTTGCAAAAGCCTTAATTTATCTCTCGCTCCTGGGTAAAGTTGACAAACGCAGGATCATAAATAAACCAACACATCAAATTACATATATTTTGCTCGCTAAACTGATCTTAGCGGCAGCGACGACGTGTAAATTTCTATTGACCTCGTCGCTTAGCAAATCGAGATGGCTTCTAATGTAAGCTTACAACCTCGCCAGTAAATGTAAATTTCTGATAATTGGTTTTATAACCCTTTAAAAAATGTAGTGCGTAAGCGAAACGATCAAGGATAAAGTCTCCAACGTCGGTTAAAAACTTTTTTTAACACAACAAACTACGCACTTTCTTCGGCTGTAAGTTCTGAGATTTCCTTCCAAGTCAGTGATGTTGTTAGAATGCCTTACGCTGCAAGAGTTTTTATCACGCTATTAGGCTGCTCACTAGCTCACTATTTTTATATATTGTTCGAAATAAAAAAGGAAATAGCGGAGGAAAGATCTGGGCACAGAACAGTTTTGCCGATCGACTTTAAGTCTAACAGGGTATCAAATTTTCGACAAACATCTTGTTATTCTACTACAATTTTTTTATCTTCATCCAAACGCATCTGTTCGCTTTGACAAGCTGTTTGGTCGTGTGCTAAGTCGAAATCTAAGTTCCTCTCTTTCATTCTTTTTTTCCTTGCGTCCCCGGAATACCTTGAACTTTAGAATTTTCTCTGTATCTATGAAGCTTCGAAGGTAAACACGATTTAATCATTTATTGGATTATATTTTGAAAATCAGCTTTAGTCTTGGATAGAGGTCAGAGTCTTAGACAAACTCTCCGGCCCTCCCAACAATTCAGCGGCATTAAAAGGAAGTGACCCGAGTTTTAAACTTCACATTAGATAAAAAACTTATCAAAACAAAATTGTTCTCATTACAATTTTTTCGCTCGAATGTTTCCTAATCATAACGGATAACGGATTTACGTTCCCGCCTAAGGGCAGAACAAGGTAAGCCTCGTCCTCGTGTGGGTCGCAAAGCATATCGGGAATCGAACCCAAACCGAGTAAACTGGGGTCTAGTAAGTTAGCTGCTATACTTTGGCTTCTTCCTCTTACAGGGTTATGTAGTTGGAAGCACCAATACTTAAATATTTTCTCAATCTGAACAACACAGACTACAAGGTGATATAAACAAGATAGATAAGAGCTGTAAACTGAAGGACTTCGGCAAAGAATAGGTAAGAGACATTGTAAGACAGGGTCTTACAATTTTCTGTTATTTTCCATATCATACTGGCATATCGTAAATTTCTCTACGAGTTCTTATAATAAGGAATTTACACGTAGGCAATAGGACATCGATATTGTTTCCTAGAAGGGATGAGAAGAATATTAGCTCTTTTAAAAGGTACCATATGCGGTCCGTATTCCGTAAACTCTTATAACAATTTCACCAGTATGTCTACGTGTTTGATTTCGAAATTTCTCAAAAGAAATGATTTTAGCCAGAAAGTTAAAAGTGAGTCTCTTAATTGAAAATGCATCCCAAACAGATTTTTACATAATTGTATCATCCACTACTGGCTTTTCATTTTGTCTGCCAGTCGGGACATAAGAAATTGAATTATTATACAGAGTTAGTTTTGTGTTCCCAAGATTCTAATCGTTTCTGTCGAACGAAGGCAGTGCTAGAGTTTCACTTTTTTATGCTGCTCCATTAAGTACAGTATAAAGTCAGGAAAATTTGTTATAAATTTAGATATGAAAATTAATGAGAGGGTTATGAAATAAGTAAACCCTTTCTGGCTTGCTGGTATTTCAGCTGATAATGTCCCTGGCTGAGAGATTGTCTGTAGAATTTCACATTTGTCCTAGAAGCTTTGCTTCTTGGCCAAATATCACGTTTTTTAATAATTTTTCCGCCACAGACATTATCAGGCAACATACCAGTTTATTTACTACAGAACAGCCTCCTTCTACCAAATGTCAACCAATAAACAACCAATAAACTACTCACATACAACTCTTAGGCTGTGGACAGGTTATGGACAGGTTGGCAGTTGTTTGTTACAAAAATTGAAATTGTACTTTATAGCAATATACCCTAGAATTAATGCCTACAACAAAACTTTGACAGTACACTATATTAGTTCTTAATAATTGGATTTACTCTGCGTACATTGAATCACTGTTAAGTGAATTGAACAGCTTCATTCCTGCTAATAATAATAATTATAATAATAATAATAACTTTATTTAAGTGTCAGTGTATTTTAGCACTGCTGTGCTAATTGGGGACACTGTAAATAAGGAAACAAATATCGTAAATGAACAGAAACTCGTTAAAAACCCCAACTGGTAGGAGGCAGACCAGTTGGCTATTTACAAAGCGTGCAGGAGTTGAATTCGGGGCCACTGAAGACAAATCCATCCAGTGGCAGGGAGGAGGACTTGAACCCGGGACCTCTGGCTTACAAGTGCAGCGCCCTAACCACTAGGCCATGCTCGCCTCCTGCTAGGATCTCTTGAAAGACAAAGCATGTCAAATTGTCTTGCAATGCTTAGCAAACCTTTATTTGTACATTTAAGTAGATAACTTTTCCAATATAGAGGACAGTTTGAAAAACTAAAATTTTGGTAACTCTTGAAAGTGCTGGTGCTAAATTTGGCTGGAACTTTAAAGAATACATCTTCCCTTCCTATGTGGCATCTATGTCTGCTGAAGTTTGGATGATTAATAAGGCAATTTGATCGTACTGTTACCAACAATTCACTGACAGATCATAGGCAGATTACTGACTGACAGCCAACACGTGTAATGAAAACTGTTGGTTGTCAGTTGGTAGACTGTTGACTGACTGTTGGCTGACTGCTGGTTGATTGTTGGCTAACAGTTGGCCATTAGTTCCCAAACAGGTTTTTACAACAAGGTTTTCTTCACAATTACTCTCAGGTGATTGTTGGAAAAATTGAAAACAGACTCCCCAAAGTGATTGACATCAATCACTTACCTGGTTAAGTATTCAAAAGCACATGTTATGAAATATTTGTTTGTCTATGTTCACATTTCTCCCAACAGCTATAAGATAATCACTTATAGTAGTAGTTTTAACTTTGTGAGATGAACTTTGTGAATTATTTTCCTTCACTAAAGCATGGATTTCAAACAACTGATGAACTTGGCCTCTCAAAACAAAAGTCGTGCAGAAAAGCAGGTAGTACATAATATGAAATTTATTTTATGAGTAAAAATTAGTTAAGCTATATCAGTAACTCACTCAAAGAGATACACTGTGGTAGTTCTTTCATAGTATGCACTATGAGAGAAAAAGGTGTATGAGCTAAATAGAACTGCAAAGCTTTTACCAGTTTTAGCATTTCAGACTTAATCATAGCAATAAATAATGTACAGTAAGGGCAGGGAAAATTACTCTCATTTGTTTGTTGCTGTCCTTGTCTTAAAACATGTCTGTGGTTGGTCACCCAAGTCAGAGATGACCTGTAGACTGGAGTTTAGAATATTCTTATCTCTAAGTCATCATTTCTGTGTTTATTTACTTTTTATGTATTCATTGGCAATATTTACACAGGCTGGCCTGTTCAGCTTAAAATTGGTTTAAATAGGGGCCTGTATAAACAATTTAGTCTAGACCACAGTGCACAGAAGCTGCATTCCCTACTCTTTGTAAGAAGTGGCTGGGTTTTTGAATGTCCCCTGCTAACCAGTACAGAAAAGATGTAGGAGACAATGCCAATGTTTCATTGTCCTTATCCAAGAATACTAAAATGTCTAACCAATTGCAGCCGTCATAGCAAAGGTAGCACATTCCCTGAGTGTTGGCTGGTCTGGGGCTTGAACCTTCAACCTTTTACACTGCAATCTGGTGCTCTACAATATAAGCTTACCAAGTGGTGGCTAACCATTTCTGTTACTTTGTGAAACATCCATTCATTGAACATTCATTGTTTAAAATTGTATTGAATAAATAGAAAGACACAAAAGAAGTGATACCCAGGCATTCTAATGGTGGATCAAAAGAAGGTGTCTCACAAGCTGCTGTTCAAGCTTTTCTTGCAAAGAGAGAGATGGAGAAAAAAAAGAAGGCAGGTAGGAATGCTAATTGATACTGGCTTTTAAAAGTTCATCAAGTAACAGGGAACAAAACAATAAAATACCTTAGAGGTATTTGGGGTGTGAGGGTGAGGATAAACTATAAGGAGACCATGTTCCATCATTGGGGAGCAGGATACACTCAAAGTTACTTTTTGTGACATAGTCCAGAATAACAGTTAGCAGTAGACTTCCGTCTCCTACTTCTACTCTGTACTGGAAGGGGTTTACTCCACGTTTAAGGTTTTAAACTGTGTGATTTCAGGGTTTATTGAGATAAGCATTCTTGGTTAATATTTTTGGTTGGTTGGGTGAAAGAAGTTGACTTCATCAACTGAGTTGATAGAACCAAATTATCTTGTTATACTATCCCAGCAACACAGCACTACATTTTGTTTTAGAAACTTACCCCCTTAATTCATTTTTTTTTTATTTAGCTGAGGAAGAGACAGCAAGACGAGCAAGGATTGAAGAACGTTTAGCCCAGTCCCTAGGTGTTAAAAGAACAGAGTCTTCAAAAGTTACTAAGGGTGGAGTATCATCACAGGAAGGACAAAAAAAACCATCAAAGACAGATGTGATAAATGGAAAACAATCAACTAGAATATTGAATGAAAAACAAAAAAACTCAGATCAAAGAGCATCTAAAAAGCTCCAGGTTTCATCTTCAAAGAACACTGATCGCGACAGAACTAGACCATCTTGGGAAGCTGATGGCAAAAATGGTGTTACAAAGTCAAAGTCATCTTCTGCAAAGAAAGGTGCACCTCTTAGTTTTAAAGATTTACTGGCTGCTGCTGAGCGCAATAAGAATGGGAGTGCCCTTTTAAAATCATCAGTACAAAATGTTAGCAGTGCTAAGAAAAAGGAAAGTGACAAGGAAAGCAATCATGTCAAAAAGGAAAGTTTAGAAGACAAATTTACCAATCCAGCACAGGATAAGAGAAAAAAGCACCCAAAAACAGTTCCAACTAGGGATTCTAAGACATCATCAAAACTGGCTACAAATGATAGCAGGGTCAAAGCTAAACCATCATCTTCAACACAGAGTTTGAGAATGAAAGAAAAGCAGGACTCAAAGCAATCTTTAGGGTTATTGAGCAGAAGTAAAGAGCATCTGGTCAGTAAAAAAAATTCTACAATTGCACCAATACCAAGTAACTCAAAACATATTAGTCCAAGTGTGGAAAGACAGTTAGTGAAAGAAAGACAACTTTACCGTCAAAAGGAAAGAATGCTGCTAAAAAGGAAAAGGAATCCTTATATGGATGAGATGGATGATTTCATTGATGATGAAGATGTCGATGACCCTGCTGATGTCTCTAAGTATATAAAGGAAATTTTTGGTTATGACAGATCAAGGTTTGTATCTCTTTTACAGACTGATTTACACCTTACCATCAGTATCCATATTCTCCACTCTCTTGCAGTTATATTTCCTTTAGTACTGACCAGGAGAATTTCTTTAACTATCAAGAGCTACTTAAATTAGTTGATGATGATTTCCTTTATTCTTGTGACCTTCATGTGTCATTCAGAGATGATAGAGTGAGGAGGAACTGGATGCTAGGGTTAAATTTCTTTTGATGTTTTAAAGAAAAAACAATTTCAACAGACATTTGTATCGACTGACTAATGTTGTCAAGGTGGCAGCATCTAGGGCATTCATATCTATCACAAGTGATAGCTTTGCAACAGTGTCATCTAGAACATTAGCAGTCCTAAGCATGGTGGATCTGTATGTGACATATATTTTAGAAACAGGCAACTGCGGACAATCTAGTTTGCAGAATACAACTTTATTTTTATGAAATTTAAACTAACCAACTACCCTAAGATTTTTTTCATGAAGCCTTTCAGTGAATGATTATAAGTTATTGTACTAGTGCTCAGACAATCTAGTCAAAGACCCGCTATCCAAAAGTCTAGATATTCTAATTGTAACTTGCTTGAATGTAATCTTTCCCACAGATTCAATGACGAAGATGATGATTTGTCTTATATGGAAAGCAGTTATTCACAAATAGAAAAGGAAGAAAATAAGAGGTAAATGTAGGAGATTGTCGCAATCATGAACTCTCGTCGTGGGAGTTATTGTTAATGTGATATTCCCTGATTAAGGAAGTTAAATTCTGGACACATTGTTAGGGGAAGGGCAGTATGGGAAAGAGTTGTTTCGGGAGGACAAGGGAACTGAGAGTTGTTGCTCCCACTGTATGCAGCTTTTGTTTTTTAGCTGCTGGTCTGTTTCTGGTTTAACCATCTTGTTACATCACTAGTTATATTTCGGACTGTAAGCAAACCATGACTGCTATGGTGGGGAATGCAGAAAAGCAAAAAATCTAAAGAGAAGAAGAATATCTCCTTTCTTGGACATCTCTAAGCCATCCTCTGCAAAACAACAATGTGAAATCACCAAAATTTGCGCAGTATAAGAATGGAGACCACTACAAAAATTTCTTTAAGTTTCCATTTTGAACTCAACGCTGCTCATGTACCATTTGCAAAATTCTTACAGAAAATTTAAATATTTTTTTATCAACATCCTCTTCTAGGTTGTCGTCCTGACTGTTTAAGGTCCCTTATGTGTCTAGCCTCCCAGCACCTTTAAAATTGCATCTCTTTTTTTGCATCCTTTTTTTTCCTGAAGGCCATTTGACCTTTATCTTTGTTTGGTTGAATGATGCATCTTTCATGGGTTGTTAAAAATCTTATGTAAATGTTTCTGTTTCTTGTTTCACCAGTGCCAAGATAGCTCGCCTGGAAGATGAAATTGAGCAGTTGAAGGAATTGGCAGAGCTAAAGGAAATGAGAGATAAACTCAAGAAGAAATCAAAGAAATAAAATTGGTTGAAGAGTGTGGAAACTAGTTTTTTTGTCATTTTATTAGGGCTAGGCAGACGAGAAGTCTAGTTACCAGGCAACTACAGAAAGACATAACTAAACTCTTATGCAGACTAATTTTCTTTAGGAGGGATTGACAACTTTCTTCCCTACTGGTGTGTTAGACAAAGATACATTACTAGTCATTCTTACATGGAGAATGGTCTTCTTGATATGTGGCAATGTGTTGTTAACTGCTTGAAAAGTCTTGTGTTGGATTTTCTGGAAGTTTTCTACCAAGTTTTCAAACAGCATGAAATAATCACTGTTAAGTACAAACATCTTTCGAGAAGAACATATTTTCCCAAAAGAAGGAACTTTAATTTACATTAGAGCAAATTGTATTCAGAGAAATTGAAAAAGTTAACAAGTCAGGAAAGGCTCGTTGCTCTCTTCAGAAGTGGAGGATAAAGTTCAGAATTTAATGACAAGATATTTTATCTAATAGACTTTATTTAATTTTACTTACCTATACAGAAGATATCTTGAAATCCAGGAGTTTAAGATAGGTTACAAATATTGTAATTCAGGCTACCCAAAATAATACCCTTAGTTATCAACATGTGTAGTTAACCTACAGATGCATTATTAGATAATCCACTAGTTGTCAAATTTCAAACAGCCAAGGTTAAATTAAACTTGACTTTGGTATTGATATCAGTGCGGTGTTGTTTTGGTTGGGAAAGCATGCTATGGTATTTAAAAGCCTTTTCTCAAGAGAGGTACAAAAGTACATAAATCTGGCCCCAGTTATTCAAAGGTTGGATAACACTATCCTCTGGATAAATCTCTATCCGGTGGATAACACTAAACGTTTTCCTCTCACTTGTCTGCTGAATAGCGATTTATCCGTTGGATAGCATTATCCGCCCTATATACAACTAGGCCCTGTGTATTTAGCTTCTTGGGCCTTTCTGTAGGAGGTTTAAAAGAAGACACTCACTTTATTTCTTCAAGAAAACTGTTTTAGCCTGTACAAAGGAAAGTGGCTGACAATGCCTAGTCTTCCACATTACATACAAATTAAATATTCACTGGTGAAATGTTTTTCTTTTATTATAATTTAGTTTTTCTTTTAATATTAGTTTGAAGGTTAATTGGTTGAGGCCTTCATAGGTTACTTCATGGAGCAATTCCTAAGAGGTGTTTTATCAACCAAGTTGACAGTGCAAACTCACCACCATGAAGAGTTTGTAAAGCTAGTGTTCCAAGCATTAACTCTTTTTCTGAGCACTCAGATTTATGCTATTGGCTCCTAAGGGAGCTTGTGGACCCAGTTTTTGGTGTCACTCCTATTGTTGTTTCACTGCACACTCTGTGGCTTTAAATGTCACAGTTAACCTGGGAGGTCTAGAGTCTCTAAAATACTCCAACACTTAATACAGTTACGAAAACAAAAACATGACCTTCAAAACATTTTATTTCATCATTTACTTGTGGTTGAGTTTTTGGCTGGAAAAGAACAACAGTGGTACCATGTTAATATGGTCACAAGTAGGCCTAAATAAATAGGTTGTAAATGGCCATATCACTAGGGCAGGGTCAAATTTCATGAGCTTAGGGCCATATTGAAAAAGGCATGGCATTCACACTAGCTGAAAATCTGTTCTCTTAACTGAACAACCAGAATAATGTAGATACACAAACAGTAATTTTGGAAAATACTTGAAACTTCAGAGAATAAGCGTAACACCTTTGAGAATCTGCCATTAACTGCCACAGATGCATTTCAAGTGCATGGTAGCCTTCTCATGTGACATTGAGAAAACTCTTTATTTGAGATATACAGGCCTCTTGGTTTCCTAGTGGTAGTGGCCATACTTACAGGGTGAAATGATAAAGGATGACAAAATGTGGCTGTTGGCTGTTGGCTGTATGAAAGGGTGACCACATTAACAAGGAGTTATTAAACAAAGATTTATTGCTGTTTTTGCAGGGCCAGAGAAAAGTGGCTGTAATAACAAGGTGACTGTATTTAAACCAAAGTCACCACGAGGCAGGGTTCCACTGTAGTATGGTTTTGAAGATGTTGGTATAAACAGAACCCATAAGCTCCTTGATTAGATCAATCCACCTTCCCAATATAACTTAAGTTCTTAAAGAAAACAGAGAAGAAGACACAAATTTCAAAAATTGATTATAAGTTTACTGGTTTTGAATTACAAAGTTAGCAGTGTCCTTTGCCAACAATGCCTACAAAGTTGTTGATTACTAATATATAATTCAAGCAAAAGCCAGCACTAAATTTGCAAAATTTCTTGAGAAATTCTGTTTTGAAGTACAAAAAATTTCACTAAAATACTAGGAGGATAAAAAGAAATAAAAACCGACAAATAAACTGTCTCTTCACAATGACAAAAATGCTTTGTAAATGAAAACAATGTTAAGAGTATTGGAGTACATGGCTGTCATGTACAATGCTGTCTGTTCCTTGAGTTGGTCAGACTAACTCTTGCTTCAAGGAATTTTAACATCTCCACCCTCACAAATCTGAAACATAAAATGACAAAGTATTCAAAACAAAGGTGTTTTGACTTCATCTCATGCAGTTAATTTGTAAGAAAAATGACAAACAAGACTGCAAGTTGTAAAGCACAACTCAGCAAGTGGAATACTTAGGTGTAAGTGATTGCAAAGGACATGAAGTTGACATAGCTGGAAAATCTGCCATTGTGAATAAAAAACAAAATACTTCATACATGAAACCTCCACTAGATAAAAAGTAAATTTAGCATTGAATGATCCTTTGCATTCCCTAAAATATTTTATAGGTTGCCATGACAATATGTCAGCCTATACCCATGTCTCCTTTACCTAAAGCTAGACAATGTGTGTGACAAGTTTTGTCCAGACTCAATGCAGGAGTGATAGTTCCTGAAATCATTTCAGCCAAACCTTTTCAGCTCTTGATAGACATCAAGGAATATTCAGTAAATTATTTTAGGAAGACCCAACTCATGAAGAAATAAGGGACCCATGTAATTTAAAACACGCAAACATAGCAGTGCTCTTAGAAGAATTAATGGAAAACTGAGGGCTCTAGTCTCAGAAATATGAGGTACCCGGCTCTAAGCCCTTTAACTCCCATGATCTAATTGTTAATTCTCCCCTCTAGCTGCTACAGATTTCCTTGCTAATTGGTAACCAAAATTTTGTGAGATCACAAGTCCTACCTGAAAAGTTTGAGCATTCTCATTACCTTTTTGCTACATAATGTATGTATATTATAGGGAGAAGTTGTATGTTGATCACTTCTGGGAATTAAGAGTTACAAGTGTTCATGAATGCAGAGTTAAAAATTTTTAAGATTGCTTAGAGACAAAACTTAGTTTTAAGTAGCACAAAAGCCTGACCAAAACACAGTGTTTATAGACCTTTCAATTTTTAAAGACAGGTTTAAAATAAGGTGCATCATCTAATTTGATTACTAACCAGCGCCTACGAGACCCACGCTGTCTATCAAATTTGGCCTCCATTTCCTCCAGCACTGAAAAACCAAATTAATCACAAGAGTTTCACTTGAATACATTATTCACTAGCTTCAAAGATGAAATCACTCATACACATTTGAGGGGGGAAACTTCAACACACTTAAAAAGTTACAACAGGGCTATACAATCATGTGTTTGTTGTCATCCTAGAAAGTATCATAGACTTGGAATCAATTTAGTTGACCTAATGAGTTAGTTTCTGTTTAATTTTGCTCTTGGTTGTTGTCTTTGAAACCAGTTCTAATTTATAGTTGCTACATTCACAAATGAAGCAAAGACAACGAAAAAAAAAAATTTTTCAAACCAAAATGATGACTGAAAAAATACTCACGTTTTGGTGTATACTTCACAACTAGACGGACACTTCCTATGGAACAATGGAAAAAAAATTTATTTACATAAAAAGAATGCTTTCATTTGCTTTCACTCTTCAAGCTTTTTGTGCCAGAGTTTTATTCAACCTACCTTCAGCTGCTTTCAAAAGGTCAACAGCTTTCTCATGATTTTCTCCTTCAACACTCTGAAAAATAATGAAGTTAAGTCAAGCTCATTAATCCAGTGCCAATATATAAATTCTATGTCAACTTTTGGCTAAAGATAGATTGTGATCTCTGATTCACGAATCATCTCATATACTAATGTTTTTGTGTAAGACTCACTGCAAAATATAACAGTGAATGGATTAACAAACCCCAATAAATCACTCACTAACTTGCTTATTGAGCAAGGTTTTAAACAATGACAGTGGTGAAGGAAAAAAATGACAAGGACAGCAATAACTATCTATTTCATCCAAGAGAGGTACTAAATTTAACACTTTACCCCCAAGATTGCATTAGAAATTCTCTTTACTGTCTGCCACTTAATTCATACCACATAAGTTCAGAGAATTGGGTATTGGATCAACTTATAATCCCCTAATTGATATTTTTCTTCTTCTCATCACTTGCCTGCTGGATATTGTATCAATTTTGTAACGAGAAATTCTGTCTAGGTCACTCATGCCAGTTAGAGGATTAAATATCAATACTGAATTTCCAGTGACTCACTTCCACTCCACAGGTTATAAAAGAAAGGCTTTTGGTAGTAATAAACAATCAAAAAATTTTCTCACCACTCCATTGACTGAGAGCAACTGATCCCCACGCTTCAAGCCACCATTCCTACAATGATATAACAAGAATTATCTCTCTTTAAATTCTATTATGTGTACCTTGTTTGGGATGGGAACATTGAGAATGGAGGGAAAACAGGTAACCAAACCAAGAGTATTTCAACAATTTAAAACAACTCAGTTTGAAAATTTCAACCCAGTTTAAAAAATTTTAACCTAGTTTAGAAATTTTAAGCTAGTTTGAAAAAAATTAAACTGGTTCAAAAAAAATGAAACCAAAAAAATAATTTGAACCAAAACAAATGCAAAGAGATGGAATTATTCATACCAAACAACCCTCAATTTGTCTATCTATTCTGATAAAGGGCTGATGCTCAAAAAATCAGTTAAGAAACTCTTTACTGTGCCTACTTCATATCAACTCAGTTGGTGACCAAATTATCTAGTAACACCCCCCCAACCCAGCACCACGAGTTGACGAGTTGAACACTTCCCAATCAAGATGGTTAAAAGAAATTATCAACACACCTGTCAGCCACACCACCTGGGATAATACGCGAGATATAAATGGGAGAATTCTGTTCTCTCCCACCCATCACATTAAAGCCAAGCCCTTCTTCATTCTGAAAGGAAACATGCAGCATCAACAGAACATTACTATAAAATATTATATAATAAGCTCCGTTATGCACGCATTCTGATGATGTCATTATTTAAACTTTTTTTAATTCTTTATTATATAAAACAAATAGATTCCAAGTTGCCATGCGTCTGTTCAGTAATAGATCACAGAGGACATCAAAATGCGGTAAGAACATCAGTGACACACTATGCTGCGCCTCGCATACCACTTTTTAGTTCATACCACATTTTGACATCCTCTGTGATCTATTGCTGAACAGATGCACGGCAACTTGGAATCTATTTGTTAATTGGAACACAAATAAACATGTCAGTTGGATATTGAAAAAGTGGAAATACTTCTGAATTCACCAAATTACAATCATGCCATTGAGCACAGGAAGATCTTGCTGAACCAAAACCACTGAT